TTGTGGGCGAGTGTTGGCTTGGTCGGCTTTGTAGGTGCCTGACTTTTCATGGTCTCAATGGCCAATGAAGCCAGTGGCACATCATTCCACTCAGACTTGATCCTTAGATCCTGAACAATGTGTTGTCAGGGTCTCTTCAAAAGGATCATACCTGTTGTCAGCCTTTCCATTGGACCTGAAGAGGAACTGACGCTTGAACTCTTCTTTGTTCATGGTTCCTGTAGCTGTTGCCTCTTCCTTTGTGGCTTCTTACTGATGGAATGAAGTCCCCTACCCCCCTAGAAGTGGTATCTTCCTCACCTACTGACACCCTTCCTCTGGAACTCTCATGGTTGCCGTTGTTGTGGTAATGCACTCTTGTGACTTGCTTGTTCTTGGAACTAGCTATGTGTTTTGTGTGGATACTCCTGCAGGAAGATCTCACGACGGGCACTATCTTGTAGTTGCTGTAAAACGCTTTTGTTGGCTGGATAACCTTCTTTTTTTGGTCACTCTTTGGTCTACCTGTGAGGTGGCTGGTAGCTCTGTCTCTGATGTGACAGCTCACGCGTATAAACGTTGGTTTCTGTCTTGTGTCCCTTGCGTTGGACGTTGTCGGTGGCGTCATGTGGGGGTAGAAAGCGCTCCTCAGTTGTAAAGGCACATATGTCGATTGCCTCTTGTTCTTCTGCTAGATGCCTTCGTATACTTGGATGCAGTACACCGCGCTTGTGAGTTGTGAGCACTCGAACAACTTCGTGTGGAGATACAGTTCTCCGAGTCTTACCGGGTGTTTTGTGGTTCTTTTCTTCTACCTAGCACTGTATCACTCGGATCAACTCTTCTTTAGTCTCTATTTTTGAAGTTAGAAGCTTGAACTGATAATCTCAGACGTGCCTGGCTAGATGTCCCTCTATCGATTATGTTATGGAACCTCTTGGTCTGCTATACGCCTGTGTCGCGACTTATATCTTGATCCGCCGTTTCTTCAAGATGGCTTTCTGCTCGTTGTGATGAGCTTGACACGGGTACTCGAAAATCACTTCTGTGCTCATTCTCCAATTTCGCTTTTCCTGCAGATTCTTGCATGAGCATTAGATCACATGGAGAGCTAATAGAGGACCTGATATCGCTGTGACAGTAGCGGATCCGTGTGGAATCTTCCGCTTGATCACCTTGGTGTACGTAGATCTTTCCAGTTCGGCCGGGAAACTGTTGGTCGACCTTACGTGTAGTGTGACTGAGGATAGGTGATTTTCTTCCCGCGCTGCACCTCTTTCCTTGTTAGATGCCTTTCGTTGCTTATAGTGTAAGTCTGTGTGCTGCCAGTATTTTGCGCCACCTGCTCCTCTGTGTTCAAGTGTCGTATAAACTCGAATCAAACTTTGGATTCCTCAATACACTTTGACTTGATATGTTTTACCTTGATATCGATCTCGGGATCGGTAGTAGCTCGAGATGGCTTCTTGCTTATCACAGTTGTTAGCTTAGTAAACTGCAGCTTATTGGGGAGTTAATTTGGTTTTTGGATTAAGCTGTAAAGCAAAAAGTGAGGATTTTCTGGTGGCTGACATAGCAATTCTTTGTATTGAATTGGATATAAGGACCCCCGCAAGACTTAGACCTAAAACTCCCTTGTTTCCTTGCATGATCAATTTACATGCGAACCGCACTAGATGATTAATACACGAGTCAATAGTTAAGAGGTGTCAGTATGTTTCCTCCAACAGCTATGAAGAAGGGGGCCAAGAAGCTACCCTACATACAGCAGCAAGGAACCCAGTACTTTTCGCTTCAAGGAAAATACTCTGATAATTGTTCTGGCCAGAAAGAGTTTGGGGGTGGGTTGCTGAAGGCTTGACATGTTTGAGGAGGTCAAGGAAGAGGTCAAGATCAACCGAGAGACAATCTTGACAAGTTGGTTGAAATTGATACCAAGTTTGTAAATGCTGCAGGTAAGTTCAACAGTCTGTGCGCCATACCTTAAATTATTGCCACTCATCTATATACCTGTACCTTTGCCTCACTATTCAGAAACGCCATGACGAGGCTATGGCGAAAAAACATGACCAAGCTTCGGAAACCTATCAACTGAAATTAGACTCCCAGAAGCAGAAAGCGCGAGGCAAAGGAGGCACAAAAGCACCAAAAAGAGGAAGAGAGCCAGACCCTTGATGATTAATCAGGGGGCTCAACTGAATATTTTGGGCCTGATACTTCCTGATTTGACCTTTCGGTACAGATCCATCCCCTTGTTGCGTTGTTTTGGTTGCAGGTGCTCAGCTGGTTATTTTTTCACCCCCACCACTTTCCGAAACTGTACATCTTGACCTTTTTGTTGGGACCTTGCCTATTAGTGGTGCTGTTTGTGGTTGCACGTGGAATTCAATCTGTACAAGGCCCCTATTTTAAGCATGTGTTGGTCATTATATGTTATTTTCCATGACCCGTTCCCACTACGTTTTAAATCCTATTCTCTCCTAGTATGTTATATTTCAACTCTATTTTTCTTCTAATTCTGTAGCTAAGGTTCTTACCATTCTTTATTGCGCACGGCTGATCTACAACAGAATGGTCCTGATCACGGGAAGGTCAGCCACTTAGCAATTTGTCTGGCAGTTGCTTTCTGCCGAAATTACACAGTGCACATGACAAACACCTTCTTGAATTGAAGAACGTAGGCAGAAAGCTGGCTGCCTGACAAGTTGTAAGTGGCTTGCTTTCGTCTGATTCTAGATTTCTGTTTCTGTTGCTTGTGGAAATCCATAGGCTTCACTCTTCTACTGAATTGGGGGAAAAGGTCCATATTGCTACCTTGGACATAATCCTTTGTAAGACGAGACCATGTCTATGTCAAATTTTGACCTACTACTGTTTGCCCCTTATCTTGACCAAAGGTCATATCAGGCTTCTTAGACGAAAACACTAAGGTAGTCATATTTCAAGTGGGTGTGACCTTTGGATCCGTCCATGAATGGGACGTTTCCCGAAAGCGAAAACGTCCTCCCTGTGCCAACTTTCCACTAAAGAGCAGTCAAGAGAGTGTTTCTAGTCAGGAGTAAGTGCTAGCAAGTCACAAAACGGAGTATTCAAGGGCAATGTTCGTGAATTTTCAAGTTAGTACTATTGATGTAGAGCCGGCTCCCTTTCTAAGGAGGAATATTTTGGCATTCCTGTTGCTCTGAGGGAGCAGGGTACTATGAAGATTACTGGTCCCTATTGTGGCAAGGAGCACCATCATGATGTTGATGAGGGAGGGGGGCATGTTATGACAGCAAGGTCCTGAAATGGGCAATGAGCGTCACGCAGCCCAAAAAAACACTAGGTCCAAAGATTTCTCAGTCAAGTGAATTGGCTTTCCGTTTACGATTTGGAGTGTTCCCAGCTGGTGCCTTCTCTTTCTCTAGTTGCGCAACTGGATCACTCCACTTTCCAGGGGAGTCCCGAAGAAGACCATACAGCACAGACAAACCAGGCCTGGATTGACTTGTGCAGGCCGCCAACTTTTCAACCACATCCCGCAGAGACTTATCCGGGTCTCGCATAACGCTTCTTCCATAGCGATTCAGTTCATTGAAGTATTTGATAATTTTCCATTTGCCAGAAAGCTCATCATTGTTCCTACATGTAGTGCCTGAACACCCTGTATGAAAAACATCTGCATGTGTCAGAGATGTGTTTGTCTTCAAGACCTCAATCAACTGATCCTGGTAGAACTTTATTACTTCCAGTGGTGTGCCAACAAGGTGAATTTGGAGCTTTGTGAGATTTGAGGCATTCCCAGCTGCTTTAATGGCATTAAAAAATGGCACTAAGAAACCATCAGATGCTTTGTTCTTCATAGTAACAGTGAGAGCCTCCAATGTCCCGGAGGAAAAAAGGCCGCATATTGTGTCCCTGGAATCTCTATCAATCTGATATTGGTGGTATAGTTGCATGGTCAAATGTTCAAGTGCTGTCGTTTCTTTGAGTTTGGCACTCAATGCAGCTCTCAAAACTCGATGTTGTCTGCCAGTACGCCTTCTGTAGTCTATTGGAATATCTATTTTCTTGACATTGTCGGGAATACTCTGAACAATTTCAGCAATTAAATCCTCAGATATTTGAGTATTGTTCGACTCGCAGATAGTAACCAAGGGACTGTCTCTTTTACAATAATATCTGCTGGAAGATAGTCGTGCAGCTTGTGGACACCAGGAAAGGAGCACACGAAACCTGTCGTCTTGATTGTTGTGTCCATCTCTTTCATGAATGATATGATGCATTGCATCAGAAACTTCTCGTTCTGTACATGCATCTGTTGGCAGCAGACTCTTCAGAAACTCCATCACCACTGGGCTGGCATTGTGCCTGCAGGCATCAAGAAAGATATCCTTGGTTATTTGAGATTTATCATGTTCATAGACGAGCTGAACGACTTCCAGAGGAGCTCCAGTCACAACCAGGTTGTGAAGAGGGGACAGATTTTGGAGTTCGCGCAGAAGCTCCAGTTTTTCCTCTTCATCGACGTCTGCAATGTCTAGCCTTGTCATGGTCAACAACTATGGTACAGGTCGATCGACGAGGTGAACCTTTGCTGCCTCCGTTGCTGCCTTCATCCCGTACTGCAGCGATGCTCAGCTCTCGGTCTTTGGACCCGACCGTTTCTTATCCCCCCAACCCTTTTTTCACTTTTGTGACACCTGATGACGTCATAAACATCGCGATCCGACATCCCACCGAACTCCACCCACACCACCCAAAATCGGAATGCTTTTGGATCTTTTGTCCGAAAGGAACGGGATGTCTTTGGCAGCCACCGATTGATTGATTGATTGATTGATCGCCTGCCTTCATCCATCCCTTCGACCATCCATTGGGCTATTTATCTATCTACCCATCTGCCGCAGCTGGTTGCCACATACTAGCTACGCGTAGCTATATGCCCATTGGCTGTTGGAGATTATTATTATTTCCTAGTAGCCTCCCATTCGTCTTGCTTGTTTTACTACTACAGATAAAAGTCTCCAAGAGTTTTCTTCGCTTGTCATTTATCCAACCCAACCAGGAAAGAGTCGTCAAGATGATGAATGGCGGGCAAATTGGTGCGGGAGATTCCCTTGATTTTCAGGTAAGCTATCCATCAGGATAACTAAATTTCTGGGAAGGGTATCCATATGGTTTTGTTATCTCATTCATTCATTCATTCATTCTCATCCCAAACCCTCTGGCTGGATACCCCATGATTCATTCTTGTTTCTTTAAATTTTAATAATAGGGAGATCCAGCATTGCTGTACTTGGCAGATGGCAGTCCTCCCATTGAAGCTCGTTCCTTTGGAGCTCCCACGTCGATATCGGGCGAAGTCGTCTTTAACACGGGCATGGTCGGATACCCCGAAGCGTTATCGGATCCTTCCTACCGTGGACAGATTCTGGTTCTCACGTATCCCCTCATTGGAAACTACGGGGTTCCCGATGAAACTATCCGCGATGACTACGATTTACCCAAGTTCTTTGAAAGCAACAACATTCATATTGCAGGATTGGTCGTATCGTCCTATTCCTGGCAGCATTCCCATTGGTCAGCTCAAAAGAGTCTCTCCAAGTGGCTCTATGATAACAACATTCCTGGAATCTACGGAGTCGATACCCGTGCTTTGACCAAGAAATTGAGAGAATATGGATCCATTCTGGGAAAGTTGCTAGTGGTAAGTACGCTCCACTGCATGATAATGATCAACATTCCAAAACACATATCTCTCACACTACTTTGTACTCGAACAATCAAATGAATCTATTATTAATGGACGGATCCATCGATCCAAGAACCCAAAATCCTATGAGCCAACACTTCCCAAGGAATCCTTTGAAGATCCCAACATGCGCAATCTGGTCGCCGAAGTCTCCACGAAAAAAGTCCAAATATACGGAAAGGGAAACAGTCCTCGCATTGTCGCCTACGATTGTGGAATGAAGTTCAATATTATTCGATACCTCGTCAATGTACACAACGTGGAACTCATGGTGGTACCCTTTGATTACGATCTGGAGGCCAATGCCGATGAAGCGGGTGATTGGAAGGGACTCTTCTTGTCCAATGGACCCGGTGATCCAACCATGTGTGCCGCTACCATCAAATCGATCCAATACGCACTCGCCTTGGAACCGCCACGACCCATTTTTGGCATTTGCCTGGGAAATCAACTCTTGGCATTGGCCGCCGGTGCCAAAACGTACAAACTCAAATACGGAAACCGTGGAATGAATCAGCCGTGTATTGATTTGAGGACGGGACGATGCTACATTACACCCCAGAATCACGGATTTGCCGTCGATTCCGACTCGTTGCCCACCGATTGTTGGAAGGCACTCTTTTTGAATGCCAATGATCTCACCAATGAAGGTATTGTCCATACCAGCAAACCATTCTTTAGTGTACAGTTCCATCCAGAGGCCAGTGGAGGGCCCGTCGATACCGCCTTTTTGTTTGAAAAGTTTGTCGGACATGTCCGGAATATCCCTCAACCCTTGGTCTTGCACGATGGTCTGTCCTATGCACGAAAGACGTACAAGAAGGTCTTGTTGGTTGGTAGTGGCGGCTTGAGCATTGGACAGGCTGGAGAGTTTGATTATTCCGGAAGTCAATGCATCAAAGCCCTCAAGGAAGAAGGGATTGAAGTCATTCTCATCAACCCCAATATTGCTACCGTTCAAACGTCGCAGGAACAGGAAGACAGTGTCGCACGCAGCGCGGATCGTGTGTACTTTCTTCCCATCCAACCCAACGTTGTCATGGACATTATTCATAAGGAAAAGCCAGATGGTATCATTGTTTCCATGGGAGGGCAGACAGCCCTCAACGTTGGAGTCGAATTGTGGAGAGACGGACTGTTGCAGGCAGCCGGTGTGGAAGTGTTGGGTACCCAAATTCCAGTCATTGAAGCAACTGAAGATCGTGAGATCTTTAGTGCCAAGTTGAAAGAAATTGGAGAAACGATTGCCTTGTCGTACAGCGCCACCACAGTGGAGGAAGCCAAGGAGGTTGCCAACAAGATTGGATACCCCGTTTTGATTCGAGCCGCCTATGCCTTGGGAGGTTTGGGATCTGGATTTGCGGCCGATGACGAGGAGCTGAAAGAGATGGCTGCCAAGGCGTTTACCACCAGTTCTCAGATCCTCATTGATCAGGATCTTCGCGGTTGGAAAGAATTGGAGTATGAAGTTGTCAGGGACTCCAGCGACAACTGTATTACCGTCTGTAACATGGAAAACTTTGATCCTCTGGGAATTCATACTGGTGATTCCATTGTCGTCGCTCCCTCACAGACGTTGACAAATCGCGAATACTTCATGCTTCGAACCACAGCGCTCAAGGTTGTCAGACACCTTGGAATCGTCGGCGAATGCAACATCCAGTATGCTCTGCATCCCGAAAGTGAGCGATATTGCATCATTGAGGTCAATGCCCGATTGTCTCGGTCCTCGGCATTGGCTTCTAAAGCAACAGGTTACCCCTTGGCTTATGTGGCAACCAAGATCTCCTTGGGCAAAGACTTGGTGTCTATCCGCAACTCTGTCACAAAGACAACAACAGCATGTTTCGAGCCCAGTTTGGATTACTGTGTGGTGAAGATGCCTCGATGGGATCTGAAGAAATTCAAGCGTGTCAGTAACAAGCTCGGATCGTCCATGTTGAGCGTCGGCGAGGTGATGGCCATTGGCCGATCATTTGAAGAAACCATTCAGAAAGCTTGTCGTATGGTGAACCCAGTCTTGTCCGGGTTGGATGGCCAGGATTCGAATCTAATTGACGACTCTGATGATTTGGAGACTCAGCTGAAGACTCCTACCGACACGAGACTCTTCGCTGTACAGACTGCTTTTGAAATTGGATGGTCAATCGACAAAGTACATGAATTGACCAAGATTGACCGATGGTTCCTCAGCAAACTCCGAAACATCGCCATGCTGCGACAAGCATGCAAGGATAAAAAGAGTTTGGAAGACTTGGTTAGCACCAATGGATACGAACGAATGAGAACGTTGAAAATGGCGGGATTTAGCGACAAGCAGGTACGTCGGTCTGCAACAGGCAGTATGAGGCATTGAACTCAGCGGGTCTTCTGACAGCCACGTCTCGTGCCGGATTCCGTCAGATTGCTCGATATGTTGGTCTTTCACCGGGTCTTGATGGTGAGCAGCGAGTCCGTGACAAGCGAAAGGCTTTGAGAGTCATCCCTGTTGTAAAACAGATTGATACGCTTGCAGCAGAGTTTCCTGCACAGACGAACTACCTGTATTTGACCTATTCTGGAGACCAGGACGATGTCGAGGGCGGCGACGGCGACTTGACGCAGTCTACTAGATACTCCGTCATGGAACAAAACCGTGAAGGTGTGTCACCAGGCGACTTCAAACGTCGCGCACGAGGACTCTCTACCTCTGGTGCCATGGAAACTTTGAAAACAAAGAAGGAACGTGGTGTTATCGTTCTGGGCTGTGGAGCCTACTGCATCGGATCGAGCGTTGAATTCGATTGGTGCGCAGTTTCGTGCATCCGGCAACTACGTCGAGATGGGTTCAAGAGCATCATTATCAACTACAACCCTGAAACTGTGAGTACAGACTACGATGAAAGTGACCGTTTATACTTTGAGGAGTTGAGCCTTGAACGTGTCCTTGACATCTATGAGCGCGAGAACCCCTATGGTTTGGTAGTTTCGGTCGGTGGTCAAATACCCAACAACCTTTCTGGCCCCCTGGCAGAGTGTGGGGTGAAGATCCTCGGTACATCTGCCCGCGATATTGAGCGCGCTGAGGATCGCCAACAGTTCTCGGACATGGTGGACAGCATGGGAATCAAGCAGCCAGCGTGGTCTGTGTTATCGAATAAGGAAGACGCTGTAAAATTTGCCAACACAGTGGGGTTCCCAGTTCTTGTTCGACCCAGTTTTGTTCTTTCAGGTGCAGCCATGAGGGTAGCGGCTGATGAAACGCAACTGACGAACTTCTTGGATATAGCGGCTGACGTCGCTGCGGACAAGCCTGTTGTCGTGACCAAGTTCATTGTCAATGCCAAGGAGATTGAATTTGACGCAATTGCCAACAACGGAAACATTCTGAACTACGCCATTGGAGAGCACCTTGAGAACGCTGGCGTCCACAGTGGCGACGCAACAGTGATTCTCCCTGCTCAGAAGTTGTACGTGAAGACTATTCGTCAAGTCAAGACTTACGCGAGCTGGATTGCCAAAGCATTGCGAATCACTGGTCCTTTTAACATTCAGTTCATGGCCAAGGGGAACAATGTTGAGGTTATCGAGTGCAACTTGCGTGCAAGTCGGACTATTCCTTTCGTAAGCAAGACACTGAACCATAACTTCATTTCGTTGGCTACGAGGGCAATGACGGGAATGGACGTGCAGGCTTACAAGATTTCATTGCTCGACATTGAGTATGTTTGTGTGAAGGTGAGATTTTGCAGAAGCGGACGATGTGTGATTAGAGCGGTAGATATGTCTGTCGCCGTTTCTGGGGCTAATTTTCGTTTTGCTTGTCCAGGCGCCCATCTTTTCGTTCACCCGTCTTCGTGGAGCTGATCCTACCTTGGGAGTGGAAATGGCTTCCACGGGAGAAGTGGCTTGTTTTGGAGTGGACTCGCACCAAGCGTTCCTCCAAGCCATGCTGTCGACTTCTTTCAAGCTCCCCAACAAGAACCGCAGCATCTTGCTGTCCATTGCCAGCGACAAGTTCCGTGCCGAGTTTTCGGAAGCCGCCGAAATCTTGTTTAAATTGGGTTACAAGCTCTATGCCACCCCGGGTACAGCAAATTATTACAAAGAACACCATGGCATGGAACTCACGGTTGTCAACAAGCCAACGAGCGAAACGGATGACGGAGAGGGCACTGCCCTCTACGTGATCAAGCAAGGTGCTATTGATCTGGCCATCAACGTAAGCGAAGGCACTACTCGAAAGGATGAGATTACTTCGGGTTACATCATTCGTCGTGGTGTTGTAGATTTCGGTGTGAGTTTGATTACCGACGTAAAGTGTGCCATCAAATTTGCCGAATGCATGGAGCGAGGATGGGGCGATGGCAAGTTTGAACCTCTCAATGTTGGAGAATTCTACAAGTTGCCAATGATTGGATGGGCCAAAGGCCAGGTGTAGCATTGAATGGTAGACAGCTAGCAGCTCGTAAGTTTAAGCTTCGTAGACAGTATTGTTTTCAAATCTTCAGTCATTGCACGGAACGACGAGCAGACTACGAAGATTGTGAGGTGACAACGGGCTTCTTGCACCGACTTTTTAGCCTGTGAGCAGGGAAGCGAATCGGGATAGGTGAAAGGGGCTTCCCAGAGCGAAAGGTCTTGGAAAACTAGAAGTGCGTCGTTGTAGGAATGGGTCCTGCGGCTGTGCCTGGGAGTTGGTCTACGAATGGAGCCTGTGGCTGTGTCTGGTTGAGTAGAGGACATGAGCCCGGTGCAGTTCTGGGTGAGGCTACTATCCGGGGCTGTTTGGGCCCAGGTCTTGCAGGCGAGTGCCTGGTCCACGTGTTGGGCTTGGGATTGCTCCAGGATTGGGGCATGGTGTTGGTCCTGGGCTTGAGTCAGGCATTTGTCAAGGTGTTGGGCCTTGTGTGGGTCCTTGTGTGGAGCATGGGTGGATCCAGGATATGGGTCCTGGGGTTAGCTTCTTGGATGTAGGTCCTGCCTCGAGTTGGGCCAAGGGCCTGATGTTGGGCTTGGGACTGGTCCTTGGTCCTAGGTATTGGGTTTGTTGTGGGGCATGAACCAGTTGAAGTTTGGGGTGGTGATAGGCTGGGCTTGGGTGCAGGAGTAGGGCATGCTTTGGCTGAAGGTTCTACTACTAGTACCCCTAGTAGGGGGGTGCTAGCTAGTAGCTGAAGGGAGTGGATGGACCTTGACATTGCCTGCTGCTCGGCTGTGCAGCCAGCTTGAAAAGGCGCATCAGAATAGGAAGCAAAGCAATCCAATTACCTTCCTGTTTTCATGTCAAGATATTCCCTTCCCACAGCACCGTTTCTCTATTGCCATGCTAACAGGGAGTATGCTCTGCGATTCAATTCACAAAGCAATAGAGGTGGAGATCCTGCCCATACGAAGAACTTTTTGATGTTTGAAGTTGCAGAGGGTTGCAAGACCCTGAATGTTTAAGGTTAGATACTTCTCACACACCCTGCTCTCCAGACAAGTGACTCCTTGGGAATCCATAAACCAGCCAGTGAATGGTTGTACAGGTTGCAGAAGAATGTTTGGTGGTCTGGCCCCTGACTGGGAAGGTGGTTCTGGCTGAATACATCCAGGCAGTTTGAAGCACCCGTATTAATGGGTTGAAGTTCCAACCTGCTACCAACAAACCGCGCTTTAGCTATGATACCGGTGTAGTAATGCAAGGACTTCTAGGAAGAAAAGAAGTGGCGTCCTGGTGAAGAGATTTGATGGAACCATACATGTATCAAAAGACGGTGCATCCTCAGCTCCAAAATGTTTGCGTGACTTTCTCAAGTTATCAAGTGTCAAAGCCATAAAGGTTGCACGAACTAGCTACTCAGAATGGGTTGAAGATCGTTTGAGTAAGTCGCAGAATGTAAGAGGAGCAGCGGACGCAAAAAGACGGCAACCACAACAGGCAACAACAGGGGCAAAAGGTTCGTTTGGATTACAACCCAGTAGGAGCTGACAAGTAAACAGTGGAGTTAGAAAGAGGGCTTGAGTGCATGGGCATTCAAGTTGAACTGCAGCCAGGAAATAGTATTCCTCGATGGATGAAGAGACCAAAGCAACTGCGGCAATAGATCAAAGTACCGATAGTGCCTCGATTGATGATTCCGCCGCCATCTTACCAGCCTAAAGTCTGGCTCAAGAGCTAACAGCCTCAGCCCTCATTAGCTATCCACTTTTCCAGTTGCGTAGCGTGGAGTGAAGCCGTGAGTACTAGACATGTATGTGACGGTACCGCTAAAGGGAGCTCCTCTTCCAGCAGAAAACTAGCTCTCCATACATACATGTACTAATACTACCGGTACATACTACAATGTCACGACAATGTAGTACCAGTACCACCGGTACAGGACACTCGACCCCTTTGCTTCGAAGTCATTCAATTCTCTTCTTTCTTCTTCTTAGCGTTCATAGGGGCTATACTCTTTGCTTTCTTCGACCCATTCAGTGTTCTCACTTTCCGCCTGAGAATTGTCTTACGAACATCCAAAATGTCCATCTTAATAAAATAAAAACTTCAAAGCGCTAAAAGAGAAAAGAAGCAGAAAGGCCAGTGGTCGTGCTATGCAGGGTTTAGCTGGATGATGGTCAGCGCAGGCCTAGTGAACAGCCACTTAGGCTATGAAGGAATTATGAATGTCCTGACGCGTATTAAATTTTGTACGGTTGTTTGATCACTTTGATCGAACCTCGGAATGGCAGCAACTAATAGACAACTAGACAGCTCTAGACGCAGCCGTACTAGTACACTAGTACAGTGCGGTTTCGGCATCGCATGGCCGGTGGGGGGAAGCAAAATTTTAAAATGTGAGAAGGTTTGATTTTAGACAAAAATTTAAAATACTAGTACCATGATTTGCTTGTACACTTACCGGTACATAAACAGCAGTTAATTTAACAAATTATATTATAGTATTCAATATCTTGAGAACTCGGAAAGTGGTCACATGGTCACAGTAGCTGGTCATTGAAGCTTCCGCTTGAAGCTACCAGTGACCCACAATTCACCGTGAAAATTCGACTTCAACAGTCTCCAACCGTTCCTGTACCGGTACCGGTACAGGTCTTCCTACAAAGAATGACGTTTGCCTTTCTCTTGCATTGCTCCTCTCTTCGGTTGCTTCCAGTACTTCTTGTGACTTCTAAGCGATACCTATGCCTTTTTTGACCTTCTCTCTCGGTCTTACAGCTGGTTTCCAGATTTCTATGGCCTGCCTTCGGTGAATAGAAAGTGTTTGGTTTACTTAGGGCAGTACAGTGGTCATTGACTGTAGAGACCCTTTACAGGAGAAACACAGGACATTTACAATACTTGTATTAAAGCCTTGTATTTAAGATATATTTTTATTTTTCGAAAATGAAATTGCCTGAAGTTCCATGCTGTTCCAACTGGCGCGTAGACTGTGGGGTTGTCTAGTCTACTAGCTAGTCTAGACTAGCTAGTTGTTGTTTTCAAGCTCTTCTCGCCTGCAAACCCCTGAATTTTTTCAGTTTCACACATTGATTAATAGTGTTTAAATCTATATGTACTATTGCGCCGAAGGCTGTTGCTTTTGTTTCACTCCTTCAACACCTGGCGCTATTGGCACAGGTGAAGGAGTGAGTAGAATTGGTCATTCTGGGAACAGTAAAATATGGAGAGGGATCACAGGGGCAAGTCAGAATGCCAGACGAGAAAAGGGGTATCACAAAGTGATTGGACTTATTCAGAGAGGGTACAGGGTTGTGGGGAATGGCACAAGGGAAATGTCAAGGGGGATTGGGAAGAGAGCGCAGTTTTCATCCAGAGGTAGAGGGCAGAGGTCCTGAATCCATTTTTTAAAAAGAGGTTGGAGCTGATGTTGATTTTTGGATGTGAAAACATACACTTCATATTTGTTAAATGACCTTGAGATAGATGCCAAGGATACCTCTTTTGGATCGCCTTGCAAAAGGTAGGGATAGCTAGTTTTAGCTAGAGGGAAATTGATGGCCCAGCACTGCCTTCCTACATTATACTCTCTAGCTACCGGTAGCCAGAGTTCCAATACACAGCTTGGAAGAATACTACTGTACAGTACGAGCAGACCACTGCAGCTCTTGTACTATTAATAAGAATGGCTACTCTGGAGTAGCTCTAGGAAGCGTGAATTGAGTCCAGGCTTCTCTGGGAAGCTACGGTCGCTACGGTATTTGTTCGATGGACACCAGGACTGCAACAACTGGCAGCAACAGAAACATTTAGAAGCTCTCTAGCTCTAGCTACTAGCTAGTAGTAGGAAGCGTGAATTCCACATTACCACGCTGACAGTTGCTCACGGCTGGGTAGTATGAGTGTAGAAGTACACGGTAGATCCCATTTATAAAAACTACTCAGTGTAGTATCTAATATTCAAGGTCAAACGTTTTGAAAGCGCAAGAGGTGACACCGGTGACGATTCCGTGTGTCATTGCTGGCACAAAGGAACAGGCTTCTGTGGATCACCTCCTCCGGATCCAACCAAACCATTCACGTTATCACGTTATTACTTGCTTGCTGCTGGCGCGACACTACAAGACTTAGTACCAGTAGTCGGAGATAGATCTATGGTAGACAGCAGCCCGCCATCTGCCATGCTTGTTTTTGGGTCATACGTGGCTCTCTGACTCAGTTTGTACTATCTGAGCTAGCCATGGTCATTCCTGTGACAGCCAGTACAGCTCTCGTACACGGTTTCACAGTGTGCTGCCGCCAGCATCACGCTATGATGCTATGATACCATGATACCCACAGGGCTCCAGGCAAGATACCGAATAGTTCATAGTTCTGGACGTCTTACTGTACCGCTTGTAGTGTGTCGCGGTGTTTCGGCTAAAAAAACTGGACATCATCCATCCAGAACGTGAGAAGCCTGGATAGCTTTTCTATCTTTGGCAACTGGTTGTGCAGGTTGCTGGTTGCATCTTGCATTATTTTTTCAGCAAGTCAACGTTCTGCACACTTTAACTTCATTATCACCCATTATCCTACTTGGGTAGCCAGAGAATTCAAGCAAGGCTATCAATCAAGCAATCTACAATACACACAAGAAGACAACACAATAAGAAGACAAAAGAATATTAGTATGATGATGTCTCTGTGGATGTTCATCTCGTTATCCTTCCTGATGCCGAGTCTTCTGGCGGCGCAGCTCTCGATTATCTCGAGCAATGGGACAATGTCCGCCGAAGAACACGCTTTTTTGTACGGCAACAACACCTCTTCAACAGCTACAGACGATGCTACCCCCAACCCCTTCGACTTGGAGACACTGGACCGCATCGTGGTGACGGATCAAGCCATGGGCGCCCGGTGTGCCGTGGCGGCGGACTTTGATGGCGACGGGCGACAAGACTTGGTGAGCGCCAGTTCCAACGACAATGCTGTTTCGTGGTATCGCAACGAAGGACCCAACGAAGACGGCAGTGGCGTTCGCTTTTCCATTAAACGCAAAATCACCTGGTCGTCTCTTGGATCGCGGATTGTAACGGTAGCCGATATTGACGGCGATGGCGACATTGATGTCGTGGGCGCATCATATTATGACTCGTCGTTGCGATGGTTTGAAAATGACGGTACCGGCACTTTTACGGAACACTTGATTTCCACAGGCGTCAATGAAGGACAGGGTGTGGCTGTGGCCGATGTCGATAACGACGGTGATCCCGATATTATCTGTGCCTCGTCGGGAGATAATACCATTGCCGTATTCAAAAATTTGGGTGGAGGGGTGTGTAATCGGTGGGTTCATCGACAAAACAGGTTCCTTGTTGACTTTCCCAAAGCGTGTAATTGCCAATGGTATCGGTTCCACGCGGCCCCAGAAATTCCGGTTCGGGTCGAATTTGTCCTTCCGGGCACATGGCACAGGCATCCGTCGTGGGATCTTTGACACTGTTGACTGGACAGGAACACTGGGAAATGCTGGCTTCCAAGTTGAAACATCCTGTATAGCCGGCACAGGTGGCCGGCACCACGGCGAGTCCTTCAATGGTACAGGCATCGGTGGGACATGACACACACTTGGCATGAGTGCCTTCTCCAACACCGTAGGTTCCATTGCGACAGATTACGCAGGTATGTCCATCCCATTCCGTGCCGACATGACAGCATTCTCTCTTGTGCTGATTGATGTCTGTGTGATTGTCTTCGTCGCAGTTGGTTTGTGCGAGAAAGACGGCGACGTGTTTTCGGCATGCGTGACGGCAATAAGATCATCGTCACCATCCCCGTCCATGTCTCCATGGGCCACATAATGTCCTTGAATCCCCACGTAGACGGTATGATTCTTCCAGACATATCCTTTTCCGTCGACGTTTTCGTACCATCGAATGTATCCATCAAAAAACGATGCCGATGCGACATCGAGATCGCCATCTCGATCAAAGTCGACGGCTGTCACCGAGAGTACAAAATCGGCATTGTCGTAGATGAGTGTCTTGGAGAAATTTCCCTTGCCGTCATTGCGCCAGAGCGAAACGTGGTCATTCCCATTGGATGCCACTACGAGATCTTGATGACCGTCCCCATCAATGTCAGCGGCGACAAGGGAGTATGCCCCTAATGCTTCGTCGTCCTTGGAGATGACAATCTTGGTAGGAAAGTGACCGGTGCCGTCGTTGGGGTACCATGCCACGGTATCGTCGTCCTGATATGTTATCAAGACAAGACATAGATGGGTAGATAAGTGGGTAGCATAGAGAGGGTGGGTAGGTAGGGTGGATAAGGAGGATAGGTAGATAAGATAGGTAAGTTGTGAGAGAAATTCGTCGAGTTACTAGGTAGGTGGGTAGCCAGCCAGCAAGGCAACAACCCAGTCACGGAACAACATGTTGTATAGTGTTTCCTTACCTTGCTTGCCGATGCGAGATCGATCCATCCATCTCCATTCAAGTCAGCCGCAACTACCGTTCTTGCCCCAATGGCATTATCATCGACAATTTCCTTGATTTCACAGAATGT